ATGTATATAAAATCATATAACAAATATATCTATCTTTGGAAATTAATATTGATAAAATCATCTACAATATCTTATTTTAACTTTTTCAATAATGTTCCTATATAATTTAATTTCTGGAAAAAAGGAACTGTCTCATTTGTAGAAACATTTTCAATTAATGCTGTATATGATGCAGATGCAGTGGGTTGTCATTGATTGGATGACATTATTCATAAAGATTTGGGATGTTTTTAATGTGTTCTATATTGTAGTATAATAATTATTAATATAATTATTTGTTTCAAAGATTATCCTCAATATTTTTATAAAAAGAGCATATAATGCTAATATACATTGTACATTCAATAGCAATGAAGTATTACATCATTTTTCTGAAATAACATTAATAAAATTAATTATCAAAATTTTACTCTAATTTTTATATTCATATAAAATTTAAAAAAAATACAAATGTACAAATCTTAGTTGCAAAGATTTTCAAGCAACGTTGTAAATGACATTTGACAAGCATTCTAGTGAATTGTCATCAATTGAATAACATTGCTTATGAAGACATGAAATGTCTTCGTCATCCTTACAGGAATTTCCGATCGACTGATCGACGAACTATCCGTGGAAAGTTGCGTCATCGCGCGCGCGAGTAGAAATACCCTCCCTCGTGCGCGCATGCATGTCCTAACCTCCAAAGCCGCCCGCTTACGTAACCACGCGGGCGGCTTTTCGCGATAAAATCATCATGAAAAAAAGATCGTACTGGATCGCTCGAGTTCCTTGGCGGCCGCGGCGGCCCGTTCCAGCGCGCTCGAATCGAATCTATATGCTTCCATCTGAGAACCGCCGATCCTCGGTGGAGAACCGCCGCCGCCGCCGCCGCCGCCGCTGCCGCTTCCGCCTCCACCGCTGTCACCCGCCAGTGGTGGCACAAATTGCGTGAAATCCTGCGGCGGCTGTGCATTACGATAGCCGAATAGCCACGACATTCTTCCAACTGTTGACCGGCGAATTAAAGGTTACACTTGACGCGCCTCGCGCGTTGTTCTCCACGGCACGCGTGTTCTGGAGCGTGCCTTGTCACGTGTACATACGCGCCGCACCGATTGGAGGTCGCGCCAGTGTTACCAATAGCAGAAAGAAGCGGGAGAGCGGCGATCTTGGTCTTTTTCGTCGAAACCGCAGTTAGGCGGGAGCACAGACTTTTGCGTGAAAGCCTGTTCTACAATGCGTCGCAAGCCACAATAATTGACCAATCACAGACGAATGTGGGGAGAATACTTGATTGTGATTAGCCCATTCTTACGGCCGTGATCCACGATACCGCCTCACAACGCATTGTAGAACAGGCCGAAGCCTTCTGTCCACGATAGTAGAAATCGATTCGAGATTTTGGATGGAAAAAGAATTGATCAATCACAATTTGATTAATTGGCCAAATTATTCAAATAAGGATGGTGCTGATGGTGATGAATAAGGTGAAATGATGGGGATAGCCAATCGGCATCGTTCCGAAAATTTCAAATAGCTTTCCGTTTCGATTTTAAGCATCCTGGTTTCCCCATGAAGCATATTTTTCAAAAAATGGAATCCATTTTAATCTTTTTTTTTTTAATTTAATAATTTTTCATTATTTTATTTAATTATATATATATATTAATAATTATCTATATAATTTTTTATTATTTAATTCAATTAATATATTACTTAAATAAAATAATATCAATGTTATCAATTTAAAAAAAAAAATAAGATTAGAACAGATTCCGTTTTTTGAAAAATATGATTCATGGAAAATCATTTCATCTTTCCGATTTCGTTCCGATTTCGTTTTCCGTGGAACAGCACTCTAACAGTCAACAATATTCAAATGATAGTTTTATTCTCATAGACACAACGCATGAGAAAATAAACCAATTAAAATCGTTTACTTCCATCGTAGGATACAAATAGAATTATGATTGAATTCGTCTGAATACGTATTAATGTCGGTCCACAATAGGTGATTTAAGCTTTAAGAAGTAAGAAATTGACCAATTATAATCGAATATGAAAAGAATAATCGACTATGATTGGTCAATTTCTTACGACTTAAAGATTAAATACTTATTGTGGATCGACACTTAGATATAGCTATGAACGCATTCCGCTTCTCGCATAAGGCCGAATTTTCATTTCTAAAATTTAATATTTATTTTTATTCCTAATATTTCCTCCATTGTGTACGGGATCTAAGAATGCCGTCACATGCGGCGTAACTTGCGCCGACCAATCATATCGTTTCACTTGGACATCAGATTCCGCCTAGTTACTTTATGCTGTTTATGCTTTTATTGTTACGCTGAATCTAATTTTTTTGCGGAAGAAACACACACACAATAATCAGAGCTTTTCAGAAAAATGAATAAAGATCAAATCAGGAGCTAATTAATTAATATAATAATGATTAATTAAATCATCATATCAAATTAATTAACAATAAATATATAAATATATTTATTATTATAATATATATATATATATATATTTTATTATAATATATATTTATTTTATATATATATATATATATTAATTAATTTATAATGTTTTACAACGGGTGGCCCAACAATATCTAACAACTGATTAAACATTTCTATGGACATTCTACAATAATTGTAGAACATTTCGTAATCTTCAAATTCCATTTATTTGACCAGATTGTCACTGTCATCCTGTAATAATCTTCGTCTTTCTGCAAATATCGGATGCACCCACATTCTATGACGAGCTTTTTCCTGTTGATATACCATCAGTTTCAATATTCCAAACAATTTTTAAAAATATTATATCATCTAATTTTCTGTTGTTGAGATTGTTTTATCTTCTGCCACTTTTGCCATCACTTCCATATTATTAATAACAACAGGTCCGGGTCCATAATGACTTCTGAATACATTCTCACAGATAGGTTCACATTTACTTGACTTGTTCGTACACATACTCGTACATAAAGTCTCAATTCCCCATAAAGCGTATTTTTCCAGATATGCAGATTACAAAAACCAATCACAAATTAATTTAGCATTTTTGTTAGAGAGTACAACAGAAACTCTAATCAGCAACTGGTTGTATTAATTACTCATTTCTCGAAATTTCGCGAAATACGCTCTATGTAAAAGAAGGCTTTCAGAATGACGTAACATATTTTAATAAAATACTAATAATACTAATAATAGAATACGCAGATTATGCTTACGCAAGTTACGCTATTTGTAACAGCACCCTAAGTCTTGTGTTCACGATACTAGAAATCGGACCGAGATCTCGAACAGAAAGAGAATTGATCAATTGGTTAGCCGAATTATTCAAACGCAATTGGTCACTTCTCTTTCCATCCGAGATCTCAGTTCGATTTCTCATCATGGACACAAAACTTTTAATATTTTCGATTTGCTGACTCGATCGGACACCGAGTCGAGTCCGATTGGACTCGGTGCAGGATGTTTCGATCGGGACTTCCTTTTTCGTGCATGCGCGATGGAAGTGATATCAGTATAGTATCGAGCATGGACGAAAAGTACTTTTATTAGCTCTTGTCAAATTACTTAAAAATTATCTAAAAATTTATAATATGGAACTGTATGTGTGTATACGTGTGTGTATGTCCCGTGCATGCTGTATGTATATCAGTGAAACTGAACATTATAAATCATTTCTGAAATAAGCTATAAAAAGTAGCCAAAATAAAATTTTTTATATAAATTTTTTATATAAAAATTAGTGATGGTCAAGAAGAGATATTTAAAAGTTTTTTTTTTAATTATACAAATGAATATAATAAATGAACGGAATAAATATTTTTCCTCTTTTTTCCGCAAGCTGTTTAGTTTCAAATAATATTTTATAAGAAATAAATTTTTAAATTAAAAATTCAGTATTATTGCAAAAAATCATCGCAATTTTTTAAAAATAATTTATAATTTAAAAAGTCTACCTTAATAACTCTTTTGTTCGATGATCTTTCATCAAACTATTGCGTTTCAAAATAAAAAGAAAAGTATTTAAAAAATACTGATTTCCAATTTATTTTTTTATATAATTTAAAAACAAAATATCGTAAAGACAGAATTAGCATCCATACCACTATTTCACCACTGTCTTTTCCACCATATCAAGGCGCATGCGCGAAAAAGGGAGCCCCGATCGGAACATTGACTCGATGTCGGGTCGAGTCAGCAAATCGAAATCGCTATTTATCACATCGTTCGTTTTATTCGTTTATTTTGTATCTTTCGCTGGATTCTTCTTTCAGTACTCAGATAAAGATATCTAATCGTCGTTTCTCAAATATATCTGTCTCGTGTTGGAGACATAAAAATATCAACGAAAGAAGAAAAAGAAGAAAAAAGGAAGGGAGAGATGAAGAGAATCTGCGGCGAGAGGGGAAGAGATAATTCGCGGGATTGCCGCGGCCGCCAATCGCGACATCTCGAATCTCCGCGCGCGCGGGACGACCGGCGTATCGATATATATCGATGATCTCACCGCGTTCGCGGCAACGTTCCGACCGCTGCGGTGAGTGTGCTCTTTTTCAAACATGGGGAGGTTATCCGTTTGAGGCAGTACTATGTGGGACCTCGGTGACCGCGCCGCCGTGGTGTTGATAAGTGTGACGTGCGGGTGCGTGCTGGTCTACAACGCCTGGGGCGCTATCCTGGCATTGGCGTTCACGCTGCTGCTGGTGGTGTACGCGTGCTACTCCCTGCTCGCCAACGACAGCCTGGTCTCGCCGCACGCGTACTACATTCTCGGCTACCTGCGGGAGGCGGTCCACGAGCTCGGCGCGGCGCTCCGCGCTGCCCACGGCCACGGTACCGGTTACGCGCGTAAGCTCTGGCACAGTGCGAGCCGTTGTTACCGCGAGCGTTTTCCTCCGTTCAGGATGGACAGACGACGCGTGAGCAATTATCAGCTCAGCAGCGACTCGTACGCCGCCACTCCTACCGGACGCGGCGGAGAGTCGTCGTCATCCTCACCGTCTTCGTCATCCAGGTTTGGCTTGATTGACCAATTGAGCCCGATCCCGTGTGTCCCTTATCGTCCGCGCGTCAACGACGTGCTCGCGGCGAACGATAGGTTGTACCGTGCCGGCGACTACGATCGCTCATCGCAGCAACAACTCGCTGCTTACGGCAAGCACACTTCCACGCCGGTGTTAAAATCCAGAGGCAAGGAGGAGAATGCCAGAAATGGCGACCTGGTTTCGCAGTCGCGAGAGGTATCTTCGAAGAAGAACCTAGCTATGTACGCTCAGAATCATACGTTGAGCCGTGGAGAGAATGTCACGCAGTTTACTCCAGAAGGCTCGCCGTGGGGCACGAGTATCAGTCCTAAGATGCGTCCTAGACCAGCAGGCGTCAAGACAGTTCAGACTGTCGCTGGACCATTATTAGCGTCAACGAGATATAACATTGATCCAAAGTAAGTAGTACAGATTTTTGTATACGTAACTGTAATTATGTTCTTTATAACTGAACAAGTTTACACTTTGTGTAACTTAAAATGAAATAGATATGTTTGAAGTTTGGCAAAAATAAGAAAGAAAGAAAGATATAGGCTAACTAATATAGATTAACTTCAATCTTTAACTTTTTATATCTTTTCAAAAAGTTTTAAAAATTAAAAAAAAAATGAATTAATTGAATAAGGATTAATTAAAGTTAATTAGTTACATTGGAAAAAATTGACGTTAGTCTAACAATAAAAAACAAATCTTATATATGCTTTTTTTCATTTTTTTATTCATAATACTATTTTTATTCTTTTATAAATATTTATACAATTAACAAAATGTGCATATATTTTTGTATATTAATTGTATATATTTTTACAGTTATTTTATACAAGTCCTATGTCTTTTTTTAAACATAGGGTATACACTGATGTATCGTCGCCAGGTCTTACAACAAGGCTGACTAAGTATGCTACGGAAGCAAAGAGTAAATTGACTCATCAATCACAATACGGCACTGGACAATTTCCAAAAGTTAATTTCCATGCGAGTTCAATTCCCATGTTGAACATGAAGATGACAAAAATGAGAATGCCTGTGACAGTTAGAGTGGCGCCACCAGATGTAACAAAATACTCTCCACCTGAGAGGCAAAAGATTTTATCTAATATTTGTCACACAGAGAACAGATCACCCGCGAGTGTTGTCCAAGTTTTACGAGAAATATCGTTAAAACGGCACGCATCGACGGAGGATGTTAGTTTTGATGTCGCTAAAAAGCAAAGAACAGAAGGCTTCTTTAATGAGGAAAGAGAAACGATTTTAGAAGAAAACAAGCAAAAACGAAGCAGAGATGAGTCATCCAAATCAGACGAAGATCTTTCTCCTCAAAGTAAATCCATCAGACCTGCGAAACGTACAAAAACACGATCCTGTTATGATATCTTGAACTCTCTGAGTTCTAGCAAACATGTTGTTACTGGAATTAAAAGAAAAGCAGGTAGGTATCAATTTTTATCTAATTGTATATTTGAATAGATTATCCAATGTTTATTGATTTTTATTGTTATCTTTCTGTTTAAACAGTCGATTTCTCGCGCAGTGGAACACCCGATTACGAAAAACATTTTAAGTCTCTAGAAAATGTATTATCTAGTAATTCTCCTATTATGCCACAGTCACAGAAATTAGATACAAATAATGATAAATCTGTTTTTAAAGAAACATATTCACAAAATTCTGAAACAGTTAATTCTAAAAGAGCAGAGGAATTTCCTTTGGTTAAGGGAATACTGAAATCATCTAAAGAATTAAGGCTCAATGCGCATAAAGTGGAACCTGTAATTGATAAAAATTCAAAAGATACGAGTGAAATTAATAATATCAAATCTGTTGCGCCGGCAAAACCTGTTAAATTGACGGATAAACTGTTTATGAGAGCTGAGCCCGAGCGCAATGAACAATTAAAGTCACTCGTGGAAGAACCGGGTAATATAAAGATTAAATTTGCAACAGATAACGTAGAAGAAATAAAGAAAGAGGATATACGAAATATGAGGCAAACCAGTATGAAAGCTAGACTTCAAAGTATGTTTGATGCAATATCAGGGAAAGGTAAGTAACATAATATATTGAATTGATTATAAAATAATATTAAGTTATTTTTATTAACATATTTTAAAAGATTTCTAGAAAAATATTTTATTGTCGCCTTTATCTCGTAAGACAACTTTCTCAATTGTACTTTTAGCGGAGAACAAAATCAATCCGGATGTTGTGATTCAAGCAGATGATGTTAACACGGTTACATCGCCGGTTACACCGGTCAGTTGTGCGACTCTCAATTCTTCGACAACTACGACAACAATCAATACCACACCATTGTCTACTGCGGCTATCGTACCGAGCGGTTTCTCTTCATCGAGACCTGATATGAAAGTTGAAGCGAAATCGAACACAGTTTTGAGTAGTCTGAAACACACGTCGCCAGTACAGTTGAACGTGCCAGTAACTACTCCTGAAACGAAAGAAATGAACTCAACCGCCAAGACAGTTGGAGCTACCGAGCAAACGAAAATTGCACCTGTAATTACAAGCGCGCAGTCCTTAGAAAAAATTGTATCTTCGACTCCAAGTGTTACAACACCGACCTTTACTTTCGGCAAATCGACCACAACATCGGCAGCAACTACAACATCGAACAATACATTGCCAAACTTTGGCACTAACACGTATACTAGCAGTAGCTTAACGCCAACTTCATCAAAATCTACTACTAATTTTTTGATTGTCGATAAAGCACCCTCAAGTTCAGCGTTCGTATCTATTAGTCCTAATACTACGATTCAACAAAAAATCGCAATAAATAACGCAGTTACCACAAGTGCACCCGTTACTTCGTTCACCGCCGGGAATACTCAGATTACTTCTATCTTTACTTTCGGTAATAACAAACCTTCCTTATCTCCCGCGACGTCTACTAAAGCTGCCGCACCAAGTTTGCCGATCCAATCGACTGGAACCTTATTGCCAGTCAATACAACTACCGTCAATACAACTAGCATCACTGGTTTTAATGGTGTTGCAAACAATACGTCGAATAGCGTCGCGACAACGTCCGCGATCCCTCCTTTATTCAATTTTGGAAGTAACAACACTACTTTGCAACCTTCGAAATCGAATAACTTTGCGTTCGTTCAGCCCAGTAGCAACGCTCAATTGAACGCTTTTGGAAGCTCTTCGAACGATCAACTGACATCATTGTCACAAGTTACGACTAAATCTTTTAATTTCACGTCCAACGTGTCAATGACAACTGCGACAAATAGCTCGTTTACTGCAAACACCACTACAGCACCGACTACTACAGCACCGACATTCGGACTATCGAGCCCGTCCACATTCTCGTTAGGCACTGCATCCACCACTTCCTCGATGTCTGCTTTATCTACCAGCAAACCTCTATTTGTTTTTGGCGCTTCCAATACTTCAAGCACGACGTCTACAGCTACAGTTCTACCAATTGTAACTGCTAACAACACGACCAGCTTGAGTACGATGAGCAACAATGCAATTCCTACATTTGGGACGTCCACTACTACCACCATTCCGCAATTTGGCGTATCAACGTCTACTATTCCGCAGTTTGGCGCACCTACAACCGTCCCGCAATTCGGCACACCCACTACATCCATTTTTGCCACTACGTCGATCACAACGGCGAGTACAAACATTTTTGGTGCGACAAACAATAGTCAGCCACTTTTCGGAACTGCATCAAGATCCGGAACGGCGTCAGGAACCGCTAGTATTTTTAATACTCCGACAACCACAACACCTTCTGTCTTCGTTCCGACCACTAACGTCGTCTCGTCATCGAGCAATACGCCTAGCTCCAGTTTATTCTCCAACGCTAATGTTAATTCAACTCCGACCACCGCAGCGCCTTCCGTGTTCGGTAGCGGCACGCCGATTTTCGGTCAGACGAAGCCTTCGACGTCCTTTGGTACGACAGGTAGCATGTTCGGTACCACGACGATACCATTGTTTGGTTCGACTACGCAAACTGGTACGACCACACCTGCATTTGGCATCACCAGCAATGTCTCTACCAGCACAGTCACTCCTGGCTTCGACACTACGAACAACACGACGCCCGCATTCGGAACACCTAATGTGACAGCTACGAATGTGCAAACAGCATCTGCTTTTGGCAGTACGACTGGGATGTTTGGTCCGATTGAGAATAATACACCGTCGGTTCCCATATTCGGAGCGAATGCTACTTCGGCTACTGAGGCTTTCGGCATCTCCTCGGCGACGAGTACTTTTGGCACGCAAAATCCTCCGAGCCTCACATTCGGCGGTGCAAACAGCGGTACCACGTTCGGTGATAACAAATCTTTATTCGGCACAACACCTGCAACCACCACGAGCTTCGGCACATCTAACTCGTCCGTTCCGGCCTTTGGAGCAAATAATACTAATAATGCAAGCAGTAGCACGAATAATATGTTTGTCTTTGGAAGCACTCAGAAAGATGGGCAACAGAACGCAACGTTTTCCTTTGGACCCAACTTCAACGCTGGAGGCAATAATTCTACGGCCGCACCAGCCGCCCCGTACCAGTTTGGATCTGCATCTTCTCAGCCAGGTAATCAACGATAGGTTGATTTAATATCAACGCGCGTGATCATTAAAAATCTAAATTGCGTTGCAAGCTGAGGATACATCAGACAAAAAAATCATGAATATTTATGAAATCTCTTCCTCAAATACTCCGATTGAATTCTGTTAATTGCAATCGTATTCTCTTGTTTTCACGACAGGTTTCAACTTCACTGCACCGTTGGTTACTCCTACTCTCAATTTTGGAACCACGACCACGCCGACCTTCAATCCCTCGACGCCCGGCATGTTTAGCATCGGAAGCGGATCTACTGCACCGCGATCTAGAACAACTCGCACACGGAAACCAAGATGATGGAGAATGTAAATGCAGTTTGTTTGAATGCATACTTTCGTTGAAATATGTATTCGAGGTGTTTATTCAATTATATTCTTTTATATATATATATGTAATTTTTCGTGTGTAAAAGACATACATTCGATATGCGTATGCCGCATTCGATATTTAATTTAATAAATAAATCACTTGACAGAGATCGCACATGTTGTGCAGAGATAATATTGTGAGATATTAAGTGACTTGTGGCTACGTTTTTTTAAATTGTGTTTGGTGACGGTTGCTAAGTACATCTACTTTGTATATATATATAAATATATATAGATAGATATATATGTTATGTATAAGATATTTTATCTTATTTGACAATCTACAATGTCGTTGTTACTTTCGGTAGTATGGAAAAATAAGAAAGTCATTTGATTCAGGTTCATTTCTATCAATGCAGATTAATCTCGATTAATCTTCATTTTTTTAATTCGAAAGATTAGAAGAAGATGAAGAGTAAATCAAAGAGAAATTAAAGTTAATCTATATTGAAGAAATGGACAGAAAAATAAATATCATGATTTCCTTCACATGTGTATTTTTAACTTTATAAAAGTATAAAATAAGATCTTAGAAAATTAATGAATTGATGAAATGTTTCTTATTTTATTCCAACATTACGATAAATAAAATGTTAAATATCTAAATATATAAGATATATGTAATATTATATGTATAAAATAATCACTTTCTAAATTCATATCTACATAATTTATTATTAATATACATTTTACAAAATGATTAGGAAATTGTCATAAAAATATACGATTGTATTTTTATAGAAAAGTTATAAGAATATGTAATACGATTTTTATGTAAATATTTCTATAGAAAAATTAATCAATTTACATTTAAGAAGTCAGATCATCTGATTTTATTCATTCACTCGTTGAAAAAAAGAGAGATTAATGATCTCGAAAGCGAAATTCCGGAAACAAAGAAATATTCGTTCAATATACTTGTCCTTTCGAGTCGATTTCTCCATTACACGTTCTTCCATATCTACCGAAAATAATGAAGATATTATGGACGGTCGAATTCGGTGAAAGTTCCTATACATATAGTAGCATATCGTCTATTAACATTTAGTCCATTGTACTCGTTAGGAAAAAGTTGCATAAGTCTTGCAAAAAGATATTTCAAACTCGCGCAACAAATTGTCGCTCACAGAACTGCGATTATTACGCAACAAAATGCAATACGTGATTCAGAAAAATATAAATAAATACCTTTATTTATCTTTGTAATTAACAAATGATAAAATAAGGTTTTAAACGATAGTATTAATTCGAAAGCGCATTTCTCTTTTCGTTTATGTATTTGTATTTTATCTTTTCGTCTTATTTTATCGTTAAATACTTTCTCTGGATACGCTATGGTTGATTCCGTCATTCCCATTATTTTCCATTACAAACGTTCACGTAGCGTTATTTTCAAGCGTTTTAAACTACATATTTTTTTTTTATTCTTCGGAAAATTCGGACGAGTTACACGATTATAGCGTATGAAATATAGATTGCAATCTAAATAATAAAAATAACTAGGTGGACAATACGTATTTCCTGCTTTTCCAAATTCTTATTGCATTGCTCGAGCAAGTAAAACTCCTAAGTAAATGTTCTTCCATTTATGCGATTAAATTTATGGTATTTCAAGTTCAACGGACGGAATACAAAGAGAGAGAGAGAGAGAGAGAGGATGGAATACAGAGAGAGAAAGAGAGAGGACGTATATGTTTCGGTAAATATCTTGTATGATAGAAGTTTTTAAAAAGGTTCGAGCACAATTTAAATTATATCTGTCGCTTGAAACTGATATTGTTGACTGCATCAATACATTGGGTGCTACGCACAATGGAGAAAATACTAGGAACAGTAATTTAACAGTACATTAAATATGGAAATTTAAAAAAATTCGGAATAAAAATTAAACACAATGAGTATAAGTAAAAATAAGTAAAAAATGAGTATAAGTAAAAATTAAACACAAAAATGAGTATAAGTAAATATAAGATATGATCATATCTTATATCTACTTATTTGTGTCCATTGTTTTAATCTTTCAATTTTCCAAAATTTTCAAAATGTAATATTTATTCCTGTTCCTAATATTTCCTCCACTCGCGAGACACATATTTTATTTTAGTGTATCATTCATATTCCCGGACTTGTTATCTGATAGTCAACTAACCGTATCGTTATCGCTTTTTACTTGTTACATGTAGACACGCTGACATTACTCGTGTGGTTTACTATTAATCAATGTTAGGCAACAAGTGCATCACACATTACACACATGACAAACACATAGAATTATTATAGGATCGAATACATCTTGTATTCTTCTTTCTTTAAATACTTTCAGAATGTTAAAAGTGTATTATAAATTTTAAGTCACGTATGTGATGCTATGAATCTTTTATTGTATATAAAAGAGAGAGAAAAGAGAGAGAGAGAGAGAGAGGATCTGAATTTGTTTCAATTATATTAATGCGTATGTTTGCAACGTTTGCAACTGTATATATTAACGACAGTTATCTTATATAAAGAACAAGAGAGCAATTATATATTCTCTCATATCGCGCACAATGTAACATTGCAATAAATAAGCGTTTAGAAACAATTTCCTTTAAATTGTTATTAAAGTTATGATTTTTAAAGTTTTCTTTTGATTTCTCGAACATTGAGAGACGCTGATTGTTTGTGTACGTCTATCCAAATTTTTTTCTTCAATTCAACGTGTTGTCGACATGCCAATCTTCTTATTTATCGTTATATACACATTTTGAAATCGAAAATGTGTATATAACGATTCCCCTTCTTCACTTCCCTCTTCTCTCTTTTTCTATTTATACCTTTCCTAATTCTTGAAAAGGCTGCAAAGATAATTGAAAGTTTCTAAAACTTTTCTATTGAAAAAGGAAAAAATTTCTTTTTACGTCCTTTCAATTGAATGAATTTCTATTGTAATGCAAGGACAGAATAAAATATTTCCTCGTCCTTACTATTGTATAGAAAGGCATAAAAAATGATCAAATTCTATTCTGTTTATTCTCCGAGACAAAGGCAAAATACGGTTGGAATTTTTGTCATTGGATTCGAGGATCGTTTGTTGTTAAATTCAAAATCTCGAAGGTGCCGATGCCGTGGCTGTGCCTCTCGCGGCGTCGCACGCATGCGCCGCCGCCCTCGGCGGAACTCGGCTGCCGATCGTGCGTCTTCGTGAAGACTCGGCGGCCGCGATTGGCCGGCGCGACGGCCGGCCAGCGGGGGCTGGCGAATCAGTGCGCGCGTTACACCGCCGTGGCGTGGTGTGGTGTTTGTCCGGTCGCCTGGACGCACGTCCATTGCTAACATCAGCAGCTAGCTAGTAACATCTTAGCAAGACAGACGGAAACATCCTGGTTTGCTTGTCTCAATACCACCTTACCATCATGGGTGAGACGGAGAAGCAGCCCGAACAACCCAAGGCTGTCCAGCAGAAGATGGTCATCGGTGAGTGAATGGAAGTCCGAGTTTCGCCGTTGTTAATTCGCACACAAACGCGCGCGCGAGCGTGCGAGCGGCGTTCCCGCGTCCGACCTACGGGAAGACGGCGGGCCATCGTCGCGCGTTCCTCCGCCCGTAATGGCGTCCACGCACACGGCGGCGATGCGCGGCCGCGAGCCATGTGGCCTCGCCGGCGTTCGCGAGGCTCGCGCGGACGACTCTCGGCCTCTCGAGACACGCCGGACCCGGTCGTGCGTGTCGCGCGATGGCCGGCCATCGGCGGAGCGGCCGCTGCCGCCGCCGCGAGGCGAAATCGCACAACGCGCACGTCCTCCATTTTCCATCAGCTGATGCTCTCTCTCTCGTCGCGGACAAGATCCCGCCGCGCGATTTCTCGTCCGGCCTCGGGATTCCGACTCTCGACGAAGTCATCGATTTTCGCCCCGACGCCGCGTCGCTCGGCTCTCGCGGCGGCATCGTCCGCGTCGCGCCGCGCCGCATAACCTGAAAATCGCAGCGGGATACTGCGAGCACGAAAATTGAAAATGTCGATGAGATCTTTTGGAGCGGTTCCTTCGCCGAAGATCCACGGCGATATCTATCTTTTCTCTTCCACGCCGAGGCGATCTTCCATTTCGATCCGAAATATTTTCATCGCGCGGGCTCCACGTTTTCGTTACGTAAGCGCGTCGCCGCGTGCTCCTCGAAGCGTGCACGCCGCGACGAATCACAGGTCGCGCCTCCAGATTCGTTAGATCGATCGATCTCACACTTCCGGCACGTGAAAACGCTCGCGTTATTTCGATAAACGTGCGCAAGAACTCGAGCTATGCGGATGTCAGAAAAATCTCTTTCAGCGACACAGCGGAAGATTCGATATTTCGTGTATTTCATCATGTCTTTGTCTTTCCTGCAATATGAAAAAGTTAAAAATTGAATTTCCAATCTGGCAAATTTAAGTAGAGTTTTTATTTGAGAAATATCCAATTTCTCCAAATCAGTTAAAGTTTGTGCATCATTATTTCGCTTATACGTTTCGTTTAAATTTATAGAAAAAAAAAATAACGTATTCAATCGCGCTTTTTTCTGATGGCGAAAGAAAACAGGGATTCAATTTGATCCAGAAAGTTCGTTGAAACTTAAAAAATTCTCGAAATAGTTTGTTGAAATCTAGAAAATTCGTTGATTCGTCGATTCTGTAAATGAGTCATGTTTCTTGGAAATGTCTAGAAAATCTGAGAATTCTACCACTGACTTACACATATACGTCGTATTTAAAATTTATAACATTTGAAAATACATTTGTATATTTGTTAATGATGCTTAATGACGCCATTACGACTAATTGAGTTTTAATCCATATCCGTGGTTTGATACCATAGAGATATACGACGGTGATACCTTATGTAAATTCCGTGAATACGTTATTCACATGGTTTATCACTATTCCGAGAATATTATTCAGATTTTGGAAATGCTAGGAATTCCGTCGATACAATCACGGTCGGATCTATCCGTTGCTGATATTAATTTCGACCTTTGTTTGGGTTACATGGCGACCTTGTCGCGATGTAACTGTTATGAAGAGAATCTTATCGTATTTTCACCGGAACGCGAGATCAAGCGGTGTACATGTAACATATGCCACTCCGCTACAGAATTCGTATATTTTTTTACGAGTTTACAAATTCCGAAATTTCCTCCGGCCGATTCTGTATCTCTTCGAAATTCAAGAAACTCGATCGCACTGCCCCTGCTGGAAATTTAGATTAATCATAGTATTCTCACAAATCCTCTCTTTTCCAACGATCGTACTTTACTCTATTTTCCCCATAAAATTTGTAATGCATTGTTCCGAGAAATATTCGCATTACAGGGATCTAATCCGTTATTACTTGATCTTGGAGTGTTCGCTTACGTGTTCGTAAACACGTGATAATAATATATACCTACAGTTAAGCACGTTATTTCCTTCTCCAAGGTCGCTTTCACAATTTAATAATAATAAGTACATGCGGCATTTCCCTCAGTCATTGTTCATACACGCGACTCGAATATATATTCTCGATAATTTTTTGTACAATTATACATTTCTTATTTTCCTTCCTTCATCGGACGAAGTGTATTCTCAAGCGCTCGACGAAAGGGAAAAAAAAAGAAATCACGAGTTATCTATGATCATTTCTGAATTTTTGTTCTGAATCTGTACAACTGCATGCACGACACACGTATATACATAAATCATGAAACGTTTTTTTTTTATTTCAGCTAACAAAGTGACTGGAACTGTGAAATGGTTCAATGTCAAGAGCGGCTACGGTTTCATTAATAGGTCAGTAATTATTATTTTGCAATTTCGCAATACTCCTTTTTTTTTATTTCTCATCATTTACGACACGCTCATCTTTTTACGCATATCTCTAGCTAGAAGTGAACGTACACATGTCTATTCGCTTGCGTGTTGTGTGCGTGTGTTTTGTGTGGGCGGAAGGGTTACTCATACACTATTAATTTGAACGTCCATTCCGCGCGGCAACCGCACGGTTTTAAAACGACGTGTCACGTTAACTGTTGCGTCTCCCATAGGAAAAAAAAAAAAAGGATAAAAGAATTCCCCGTGAACACGTCGCGAAATGTCTGATTATCTCCCTCGCCGCTTTATTCGCGAATCGCGTTTAAACATGCGCTTGTCACGTCGCGCGTTCGCCATATAAATTTCGCGACTTCCGTTTAAATTATTCAAGAAGAGAGAAAGAACGTTATCCGGCCGACGGACTCGTGGCTGTGTTTCTCAGGAAAATTTCAGTTCTCACGTTAACCTTGGCAAAGCTGTTCGATAAATCCTGCGGTAAAGTAAATAAAATAATTTATTTCGTAGCTTCTCTCTCTCTCTCT